GGCAGAGCCATTACTGCCCCTTCAGTATTGAGCGTATCCCCTCAATGTTTTGTTCCCTTTACACTGCTGAAGTCATTTACTGCACACAGCAGTTACTGTAATGATGTGTATAAATGTAGTATCTTATCGCTGTAGTCCCACCTCTCTTGAAATGACACAGAAGCACCAAATGTCGGCAAAACGCGTCTGCGTTTAGAAAGAGAAATACGCGGTAATATTTTATTTTACAGGTCTCTTACTAATCATTTCTTAGGAAGTTTCCAGACAAAATGTGTAATTTGGTACTAATTTTAGAGAATTTCCTTAAAAGAATGGGTCAATTGAATCCTATGTAAATACTCATTTATTATTAATTTATTATCTAAAACTTTCTTTTCTATACTATTCCACTGAATTGTGTCCTCGCCTGTGGACAGATTTCACATTTGCATGTTCAACTGAACATGGACAGGAAACCTTCTATGGAAATCACTAGGAAAGTATTTGGGAAATTACAGACCCAAAAACAGTTTTGGAAACAGTTTTGGAAACCAATTAGTCAACCTTTGGCCTCTTAAACCTAACTCTGATCTTCATTCTGATTTATATGTGTAATCATCACATTGAGCTTGAACGATTTAACAACTTTTTGCTCAACTTTTCAGCAGAAACAAGTTTTTTTATCACTGTTAATTGAACATCTTTTGGTTTTGTGCTGATCAGACAAAACAAGATATTTGACGTGGTCACCATGGGCCACCAAAACTGTGAAGAGCTCTTGATTACTCAATTAATCGAACAAGTGATATTAATTAATAATGAAAATAGCTGTCAGTTGCAGCCCTGGTTGTTTATTTAGATGGTTTGTTACTTTTGCCTAATCATTTCAGATGTAAAAAAGAAGTGAGCCACTTTATCTCAGTTTATTTTAGGTATGGGTTTTCTTAAGGCCCCTAATACTCTGAGTCTGCGTCTGTACAAATTTAATACAAATGTACAAATGTACATCTGTGTTGCAAATTCCCCCGCACTGAACAAAAAAAAAAAGATCTCAGCATTTCTTTCAGCTTTCACTATTTCAGTGTTACACTGGAATTCACATTTCAGCCCTTTGAGTAGAGCAGCACATTCAAAGGAATTCAGCGTGTATGTGTCAAAACTGTGTGTGTGTGTGTGTGTGTGTGTGTGTGTGAGACATTCCAGACAGTGTTAGAGGTATGTGAATTACGTCTTACAGAGAGAGAATGTGAAGAATCTGCTGCCACGAGAAGGCCACTGTTGTTTACTAACACACAGTAGTGAAAAGGAGGTTCCCCTGTGTGTGTGTGTGTGTGTGTGTGAGGGAGTGAGTCACATGCTGCTGTCACTTCCTGGTAAGAAAGCTTTTAGCTGTGATTGTGAGTAATTATTTTTAAAGTTATTGGTGCATGTAGCCAAGAAAGGAGAGCTGCAGGTTGCCTGTGTCCTCTCTAAAGTGAATTTTATTGTGACTTACTAGTCACTTGTGTAGACGGAGATAGTTCCTGTTTATCCGTCTCCTCCTGTTTTAAATTGAATCAAACATTCATGGCTATCAGTAGAAATCAGTGCAGCCTCTATGGTTCACACACTTCTACCTTTATCAGTGGCTAACCACAATCAGAGCCCTTATTGCTCTGTGATTGCCTGTATTACGATGTACTGGGGTTTGTCTGGGTAGTTCGGTAAATTATGTCAAAAGAACGTTAAACCGCTCAACAGAGCTTTTATTGATATGTTAATGATACCTTATTCTCTAATAGGGCCAGGCGATGAAAAGATTTATCATGACAAAAATGTTTCATTTCAGTCAATATCGATATTTAATCATCTATTTTTAGAAAAGACCAGGTGGAGAAAAGGTTGCATTTAACCACCTTACTTTGAATTTACCCACTTTATTTATCAAGGCACACAGGTGATAATTATAATGTTAGTCATACAGTATTGTTGCTGAGTTCCTCTCCATTGTGGACTGCCTGTGTATTGTTTCTTGAGATGTAACAGATGTAGGTTGAGACTGACGATATGTTGCGTACTCCAAAGGGTGGAAGCAGCTATGGCGATTCACTCATAGTACGCTCTATTATCAAGGGATATGATAGGCTGTTCATGAGCCAGGGCATATTTGTTATGTGCTTAATGGCGGTTTGCGTGAAACTATCAATATTCTATTGAACAATTTTCATTGCTATTGATCAATTGTCTACTGCTGATACACATTGCTACTGCTGGGTCCTGGACTCCATGTACTGTACATACTATAGACCAGTGTTGGGCAGTAAGTCATTACTATTAATATTATTACAGTAATAATTTCCCCAGTAACTAGTAGTGTAACTAATACATTTTAGTTACAACATTACTTTTGTTGGCACACCCTACTAATTTGAAATCCAACATTTAATCACTAGCTTGGAAGATAGAAACCTTTACATTCAGCGACTGGAAATATTCCCATTACTTTGATTCTAACAAACACAACTGGAGAGGAGGGGCACCATTACAAATTTTGTGGGGAGTAGCAGAAAAGTAATATAACTAGCAGTGTAACTAATTACTGTTGGCATTGGAGTAATAAGTAAAGTAATAATATTACTTT